CATATAGAGATAATCAACAATAAAATATTTGAATATTCTTTAAAAAAAAAAGAAAACAATTGCATAGTTTAGTTTATATAAATCACATAAAATATTTTTATACTTAATATGTAAATATTATTTAAGCAAGCAGATACAAAAAAGATTAGAGTTAATTTAATAAGGACTCTGTTTAAATAAAATTCGAATTTCGTAATTAAATTATTTGTAATATACGGAAATTGGAGCTCATACTTTTCCAAAACATCTAATAAATAAATTAGCAATATAATAAGGATAAAAAAATAAAATACAAAATTAATTGAAGATCTAATAATGATTCATAATAATTTAAATAATATTTGCACACAATCTTGATCTATATGGCAACTTACGAACAATTCAGAGTATTGTAAAGGCATTTCTAGTTGTAAAACCTTAAGAGATCCTCTTAGTTTTTGTTATTTATTTATTTATTTACTTACACTCGCACCCCTCTTGTTGCCCTCTTCACATTCTCTCCCAATGCTCGTTATGACATTTATGTTAACAGAAGGTATTTATATTTTTACTATTATTCAAACGATTGCAATCGCTATCAAGGAAATGATCGCAGCATAAATTAGTGAGAGTTTTCGATGAGGGACTGGCCGGGCTTATCGTCTGTCAACTGCTCGAACGGATGAACATTTTCATTAAGTTGAGGGGGAAAAGCCGAGCAGACGACTTTCCCTCTATATAGGGGCGGCTGAGCAATTAAGGCGTTCTGCAAGTGGGAACGAGTCCACTCACCGATCAGGCGAAGGGTTACCAAACCAAATGTAAGCGTTCAATGCGCTTTGTGTGTTTAATTGAATTTGCAGCTCACGACAAAGGGAACAGAGCAAAGCAAAGCAAAGGCCAAATGGAGAAAGATGCGTGCGATAGCCACCGCAGCGGTAAATTTTCGGCCGCGGCTGAGCCCATCGATTGATCATGTGGCAAAGAGAGCCAAGGGACTTCGCCTGGACTCGATCAGCGACACCATCCGCGTTGAAATGCCATTGCTCCATTGGGAGCATCGCTGCGAACGAGCAGCAGTTCCTCGGAACAACTCTCGGCTCCACACATAATGTCTTTCGATATTCCTCTTTAGCCAACGCCCACCTCCGTTGCGGTTCGCCTTAAGAGCCTGGCTTCGTCGTACTCTATCGGGTAGTCCTCTACGAATGGGCATGCACTTTGCAACAGTCGATTGCTTTAATACTACTTTATGTGGTATGCTCAAAAGAGTCTTGAATTGAGTTTAAATTGAATCTCCAATTGAATATATTCATTCATGCAACAAATTTATGTATGTGAGAGCTATGAATAGCTGTATATCAGTTTGAATTAGTTATCGGTAGTCGAATTGTTTGTTAAGGTATTCAATAGTCGCGCTGGCTTGCTCATTCGCTTTGTTGGTTTTGCGTTTATCAGTTAAGATCAGCCACGGATACCTCGCGTAGTGTGACTGAGTCTGAGTCTGAGACTGGGGGCTTATCCTGCCTGGCTGGCAGCCTAGTTGCATGGCAGGTTTTTGGTAATTTTTTTATTTTTTATGTGGTTGTTTTTGTTTTTTGGGGCACTGAATTTTAATTAAAATATTTCTCAGGGTTTTTTTTTCACTTTTATGCTTTAGCTTAGTTTTATAGGACTTTGKAGAGCTTTTGGGTTTCGGGCTGCTTTGACTGTCGTGAGTGTGACACATTTGCATCAGATATGACGTGCCAGCGTCAAAGGACAACAACACAAACACACACATGCATACACATATAGTGGCTAATAAATCACTTAAGGACCCACCGAGTGGTACATGGAAAAAAATAATGAGAGAGAAGAGAAAATGAACTTGTCGCACCTGAGTTGCCAACAAGGTGGCATCACAGCTCGTAAATAGTTTAAACTTGTTTTCTTATTCTCGTTGTTGTTGTCGTAGTTGTTGTCCATTCCATTGTTCTTCACGCATACATTTCTCACATTCAATTGCAGTTAACATTTGACACGTTTTTGTTTCTCTTCTCTTGCGAAACATCTAAATTTCTTAGGTGAGGAAGCGACATGGCGCCAGCCGCTCGTTGCATGTCCTGCTGCGTTTGCCAAAAAGGACAAACAGACACACATACACACATACACACACACTCGCACACACACATATCAATTTCCCGACTCAGTTGGTAGTTGTTGGAATTCTTTGAGGCGTGAGACAACGTTTTTATTGGCCGAAATTGCGGTTGGAATTTTCGGGATTTTGGTTGGTTTATCTTGGCTTTCATTTGAAGGATATTTGTAGGTTAGAGTGAAATTGGCATATGGACGGATGGACGTGTTGTGTCGCAATACAAAGTTAAACCGGGATGCAAAAGTTTACCGTGTAATGGCGAAGTAAATTGACCTGAAAAGAATAGAAACAGATTATGTAAATATGAATAAAATATATAAAAACAAAAGAGATATATATTGTACATAATTGATTGATTTATACAGGTGTACATGCTTCATATATTTTTATCAAATATATCAGAATAATAAGTTATGGGCGCCAGCTAAAAAGTTGACAAGCATTTTGTATCGCAGTTTCTATCATTGTTTTTTCGCTTCATCATTTTTATTTTGAATAATGTTTTATGTTCTTAAGTACTCTGACATTTAATATATCATTGTCATTTCTGGCTGCTAATTATTTCGTCACCTCCTTTTGAAAGCATTTTGGACGCGTTCGCCACGCATAAATCTCAATTAGCGGGCCTCTAATCTAAGTAAAATGTGCCCTCGACTGATATTTGTCAAATAAATTGCGCAGTTGAAGGGTCAAAAAGAGGACACGATAAATAATTATCGATTATTATTTAAATAATAATTAAAATTTGTAAGGAATATTTCAAAAGTCTTAGGGTCCTTTCTCTGGTTATTCATAATTTAATATATTTTATAGATTTATTCAAAAAAATGTTTTCTTATATCATTATGAATATTCATCTCCCAACATAATATATTTGAAATGGCGCCATGCACTGCTTGCTGGTTGCGTGCGGTTTGAACGGAACAACAGAGGCGAGCCGCAACATGTTCGAAGTGCTGTACGCTAACAGCGCAATGTTAAGGCGCCCAACGAACTGTTAACATCAAATTCAAATTGTTTTTATCAATGTCGAGTTGGAAATATGCGCAATATTCGTTGTAATCAAACATCTTGGTAAATGTATTCACGGAATTCGCATCCGATATCATGCCCAATTATGAGTCAGCGACATTTGACACAGTTTTGTGTAAACAAAATACCTTAAAAGGGAAATAGAGAACTGAAAAAAAGAAAAAAACAGAAAAATTCTAGTCTTTTTGATAAACGTAGCTACCGAATTGACAGAACCTAACTAACTATTATCGAAAATATTTCATGGATGTCAGATGCTTTTGTTTTTTAATTGAACTGATTTGCTTGCCTGTCTATCGACGCATCACGTTCACGGACGGACATACACGTCGAACGAATACGATATCTGCTTAGACTTAATTGGAAACTGAGATAGGCGTTCAAAGTTCAAAGCAAAGAACTCGGCATTTCCGTGAGTACTTTACCTCCGCGATAATAAGAAATTGACAGACTGCTCGGATGCTGCTGCTCTGATGTGAGACCCGTTGACAGCTGCTGAGCAGTTTGGCACGAGCTTCGGTTATCTGCCTCGACAAATTGCAATGAACTGTGGAGGTTCTCAAGATTTCAACAGTCGAATAGCTCGTGGAAAGACCTTATCGATTAGACTGCTGACTCGTACAGATCTGCCGAAAAAGAGACTGTGAGAATAGGGAGTGAGTCCAGTGGACCTTGCTCAATGCGATCATTGTGATTGTGCTGGGCTTGTTTTGAACTAAAAACTAGTTAAAAGGTAGCTGTTTCCTTGACTAATTGTTAATAGTACAAATTGGCATGTGTTTTGAGTTTTGCGTTGGCTTTTCGACTGGCCTCCAGCCATTCTCGAACTGGCTCTCATTAACAGCGTCTGCTATCAGTCACAACATCGAGCCGCTGCGACATGTGCGCGGTTGAGTGATAGTCCTCTGACTGAGTCTGTTAACAGTGCGACATGTGCGCTGCCATTTTGAGTTAGCATTAACAGACAGCTGCGATTAGTTAACAGCGCTCTGCCGACCTAACAGCCAATGGATAGCCACAGCGGCCGCACAGTTGTAGCTGTATCTGAGTTTGTGTGTGCCTTTCGTCGGTTCAAGATCGCTGACGCGAACACAGCGGATAACAAGCTAACAAAAAAGAAAAAACACAAGAATAACAAATGAGCAGAGAGAACCAAACCGAAACACAACAAATGCGTTAAATTGAATTCGAAATAAAAGCCGGACGTAAGAAAAATTTGAAAATACAAATAAAAACAAAATTCACATGAAATATTTTGAAATGCCGTGAAGAAAATGAAAGTAGTTTCATTTAAAATTTGTGCATGAAAATGAAAGTGAAAAGTGCCTGAGAAAAGCCCATTAACTGATTTTGTTTTAAAAATCGACTTACACAATAAATTAAATATTATTATATTATTTGAAAGCGCAACCAGTTCTACTACACTAAAAAATTGCCCCAGTGCCAAAAAGAAATTAATTTTATAAAAAATTTCATGATTGATTGTGCAAAATACGAATCGAATAAAAATTCAAACAAAGTGCAATACACACATAAATAAATATAAATACATAAATACACAAAACACATACACACGTATATCTCATCTATGGCAGTCGCATCAATTATGCAGCTGCTCACACACACAAATGAATATACAAAATATAAAAGATAACATTTTTTGTTTAATAATATACAACAACGACAACAGCAACAACAACAAGAACAACAATATCAAAAGTGCTGTAAAATTAAGGGAAAGAAAAACAAAACAAAACAAAACAAATTTGATTTCGGCTTTTGTTGCATTTTTTTCGCTGTGTAATTTTTTATGTTAACGCGGCACAATTCGCATGCAGTGTAATTAAGCATACACACAGATATACTATATATTTATATATGCTCATATATATGTATATACTTATATAAATGTGTGCTCCCTACACACCTACATCACATGCATTTGCACTTTTGATTTCCGCTTGGATTTGTGATACGCCGTAACTTCAACTCGTCGCTCAGTCGCTTCCAGAGGGCAATACGCACAAACCCATGTTGGATTATAATTTATACCCTTAAATTTGGGGGCTACAATGCGGCCAGAAATATACAATGTAAGTACACACACGCACACACCTACACTCTTGCAATCATGCCACGCCTCCTACACTTGTACAATGGAGACGATTACGATCGCACTTAAATATAATTAAGTCATATATATAAATATATATTTATAGGATTTTCTATATATAGTATATAGGCGCACTGATAACTGTGGAATCAAAAATAAAATCGAAATTCGAATTAATTCCAGCGAAAGCCTTATAAAACGTGTTGCGCCTATTTATGATACAATATAATGCATAATTTTGGGAAAATTTTAATACCCTGAAATGCCTGGGTCTGGTCTAAAATTAAAAACAAATTTGTTTATAAGTCTAAGTAACTATAAATATATTTATGAAAAGCCAACTTAAAGTGGTCACAGAGGAACGGTAAACGTTTCAAATTGAGAAACCTCAAATATAAAAAAAGGTTTTGGAAATACTACAACAGTGGGTTTCGATTGGAAAAAAGAGAAATTTACATTTTGAATAATAATAAACAAATTATAAATAAAAATAATTTGTATGAAAGATTTTGTTGGCTTTGTCATAACGAAACACGCCATAGGACCTAAACCCAAGCCTAGAATCAGAATCAGAAGCAGCAGAGGCTCAAAACCCACAACTGAGAATCCAATGCCATTTCGCATATCAAAGGAAGCTAAAAAGCACGCGGGCACCAGGTCATACCTGTGTGTGTATGTGTGTGTGTGTGAGCATGTGTGGAGTCCCTTTGGCAATATTTGTACATGTAAATATATCCGTTTCACACACACATTTCACTTAAAAACAGTTTTCAAACACAACACATATAAAAAGCACAATTATATGTTTCAAACAAGAAATGAGAAATGCAAAATAAAAAATAAAAAACGAAACCAGCAAACGTGGCAATAATTGCGATTCATAACTTGTTATTGCACCAACACATGCGAAATGCCAGGATAAAAACCTCGCCTCTCCTCTCCCGCTCTCCCGCTCTCCCTTTCTCTGTCTTTCTCGCACACAAACACACTCTCCGTAAGTGAGTGTGGTGCGTGTGAGTGTGCGTGTGAGTGTGAGCACAACCCCTTTTCAAAAATACTGAAAAGTAAAAAGAACTTTGCTGCAAAGGGTCGCCAGCTTCGGCTGTGGCGTGTCCTGATCTCAGGACATTTACCTGAGCCATAAATCAATTGCAGCAACAGCAACAACGGCAACAGCAGCGGCCAACGGCCAACGGCCAACGGCAATCGCTAGCCAGCCAGTCGCTAGCGATAAAAAACGCACCGAAAACGTGTCAATTAATCAAACAAATTTAGAGAATTTTCAGAATTTTTTGAATTACCCAGAACATACATATGAGTCCCCCTCATCTTCTCAGCCCCAATTCCAAGTGTTTCATATAGCCATGCCTCTTTTTATTGCATGTATGTGATGGGCGCTTCAGGGTTTTTCGGCATTTAAGTTTGGAGGCGCGAGTCTAATTCGTTTATTAATTAAACGGAAAAGCACAGAGATAAAACACAAACACACCTACACGCACTCACACACACACACACACATAGAAGTGCTGTAAAATGATAGACAATAAACCAAAGTATTTCAGTTTCATTTATTTTTACTCTTTCTGATAAGCGCCGCCTGCTTTTACGGCCCTTTAATCTCATGCGGATCAACAATCAACTGAGGTGGCAAATTCATGAGGAAGCATAAAATTCAAGATATAAACACGAGGACACTAAATGTCTAAATTGCAAATCGGAATCAAAATTCCGATACTTGATGATAGATCGATCATGCAAAAAGGAAATATAAATCCAAGCTCTACAAATGAGAAGAAGATTTTCCTCTAGTTCTTTCAGCTTTGAAATACGTAGCTAGATATATATCTTTAAAGAAAGTATTCCTCAAGGAATCTCGGTAACGGTATTATCTACCACGATTTTCCCACACAGCAAATGTTGGGTGATATCTGCGGGTTCTTGGAGTACCCCTGGTAATCTGTAGAAATTCTAATCTCTTGCACGAGTGTATGTACTTGTGGTTAAGAGCTTAGAATTTAATGAGCTCTCAGTACTTCGCATAAAGAAGCCTATAAAACTAACAGATTTCATTTATGAACAATTCTCAGAGGAACCACTCTCTCTTCGGATAATATATTAAACAAAACCAATCCGGAAATTCTAACTTTCGTTCCATCATCCAGTCACATGGGAAATCGAACAGTTGGACTTGGATTTATTGAAATTTACGATCTATTAGATACGGAGCAAAACGGTAGCTGAAGAGCGTAAATATTTTTATGACTTGGCACATATTTCTGCAGCTTTGATTAATGCAGTCAATAAACAGCGGAATATTCCAACACGTTCTATCAGAAACAGTCTATAACATAGTAACTGTGACTAGCCAGACAAGCCAGAGCCAGAGCCACAGTCAGCGTCAGAGATCGCTCATTGGGACAATTGGCAAATTGGTCAATTTGTCAACTCTTGTCAGCTTGTCAATTAGTCAGTTAATGAAGCGCCGATCAGCTAAAAGCTCTAAAGGGTGCGGCATTTTGTGTTCGGCCTTAACGCATCAGCAACTAAGCCGAGGGTTTGCTAAGCAACAGCAACAACAACGACAACTGCAATTGTGACAACATTAACATCCCATAGTGCCAAGTGACGATTGCCAATGCGCTAATTATTCAAAGTGTTTAGGAGACGAACATACATATGCATATACATTATATATTCTATGTGTATATATTATATGTTTAAGAGCGGGTAACTTGAGAAAACAAGTCGAAAATGCATTAAAAAACACATAAAATTAAATAGTTAAGCAATTATATTCCAAAGAAAACCACATAAATATAATATTGGAAAATATTTTATATAGAGATGCCGAAGCATAAAAATAAATAACACAAAAATATTAAAACAAAGAATTAATAATAATAA